GTAGGAGATCCAAATCCGGAACATTGAAATAGTTAGATTTTTTGGTCGAGTTTTTCCTGCTTCGCATTGGCAATTTGATAGAAACTGCAGCTGTTTTTTTTGGTGGCTAGTGTAAGTAAAATTACAAGCGGCCACGAAGCGGATGTGAGAACGTGTTGCTCCCAAGCTTGCAAAAAAAAGTTTCTCAAGGTGTCTTTTAACCTTTTACTTATTTCACTTTGTTTTGCCTATTTAGAGATATCTTTTGCATTTTCCTTGCTTGTTTGCGAAGCCCAGCTTCGCCTCTATGTCTATTATATATTTAAATGCAAGCTTCACTATCTCGCCACGTTTAAGCTCTTTCAACGTTTTATTTTTGCATGTTTTAGGGAATTTTTTTTTCACATTTAAGCTATATCGTATATTGCAATGTTTAAGATTTTTTTTCGTTTTTATCCCGTTGAATTTAGTGGTTGTTTCACCAAGTTTAAAATAAGCAGCCCAATGCTGGGATGCTTTCAGGACCCCCCAAGGGGTTCCAAATTTGTCTCCCAATTATGAATACCCAAATCATTTTACTGTACGAGATACGGCGGTTTATGTGTTTTTTAACGTAAATTTTCAGAAAACTCAAATTACAAAAAAATTTAGGTGAATTCAGAGTACTATCAAGGATTCCGAATCTTGCCTCCAAGTATGACTGCTCAAATCCTTGTTATTTTCGAGATTCTGAAATCATAATTTAATTTTTTTTTTCAAAGTTTGAAATTCCTAACCCTGTAGTTGGGTGCTTCCAGGGTACTCTTAGGGGTTGCGAGTCTTGCCTCCGAAAAAAATTCTGAAATCATAATTTAATTTTTTTCTTCAAAGTTTGAAATTCCTAACCCTGTAGTTGGGTGCTTCCAATGTACTCTTAGGGGTTGCGAGTCTTGCCTCCAAATATACTGCTCAAGTCCTTGTAGTTTTTGAGATTTGACGTTTTTTGTGATTTTTCAAAACTGTTTCAGAAAACAGAAATGAAATATTATTTTTATGAAATTTAAATTTCCCAACCCTGTAGTTAGTGGGATGTCAGAGTTTTCTCAGGTGTTGTGAACCTTGCCTCCAGTTATGACTGCTCAAATCCTTGTCGTTCTCCAGATATGACGTTTTTTATGCTTTTTTCAAAAAAAGTTTTCATAAATCATAAATTAAATTTTTTTTCAAAGTTTGAAAATCCTAACCCTGTAGTTGGTTGCTTCCAGGGTACTCTCATGGGTTGCGAACCTTGCCTCCAGTTATGACTGCTCAAGTCCTTGTAATTTTTGAGATATGACGTTTTTTGTGATTTTTTCAAAAAATAAAATTCAGAAATAGTAATATAGTTTTCTTTCGTTATTTAAACTTCCCAACCCTGTAGTTGGGGGCTATCAAAAATTTCTCAGGGGTTGCGAATCTTGCCTCCAAATATGTCTGCTCAAACCCTTTTAGTTTTTGAGATATTACGTTTTTTTATGATTTCCAAAATTCTCAGGGAACTAAGATTTTAAAAATTTTATAAAATTCATAATCCCAAACATAAACTTGTGTGCTGGCAGAGTACTCTCTGAAGTTGCAAATCTTGCTTCCAAATAGGACTACTTAAATATTTGTAGTTGTTGAGACTTTTTGTTTTCAGTGTTTTTATTAGAAAACTTTCTGAAAACATAAATCTAAAAAAATCCGCATAATATAAAATTCTCAGCCATGTAGTTGGGCACTGTGAGGGTACTCTCAGGAGCTGCAAATCTCGCGTCCAATGCGAGTGCTTAAATGATTTTAGTTTTCGAGTTGTTAAAATAGTTTGATTTCTCAAAAGTTTTTAAAGAACATACTTACAAAAAGTTCAACAAAGTTTGAAACACCTAACTTGATAAAGGTACAACCGTATTGTCAGCGTACACCTAGGCGTCGAGAATCTTGCCTCTAAATATGAATGCTCAATGGTTACTCTCAGTGCTTGCTAATTTGACCTCCAAATTTCTCCGGAGGCCCTCTAAGTTTTCGAGATGACGCTTTTATGGTTTTTCAAAATTGGATTTAAAAAAAACTTTATAAAATTTTGAAATTATCAACCCTGTAATTGGGTGCCGTCAGAGTACACTAAAAGGCAGCGCGGTTTTTCATGCGCAAACACTATATGCGGTTTTTCGTGAGTTGTCAAAAATTAAAAGAACCGTAGCTGCGTTAAACGCTTTTATATTTTAAATTTTGTGTTTCTTATCAGTTCTATTGTTTACGCTGGCCTCATTTTGTGTTGTTTACGCTGGCCTCAATCTGGAACGCATTAATTTGCCGTTTACTCGCGTGTGTCATACGATCGCAATAGATTGGGCGTTACTTTTCACAAATCGACCAATCTATAGACACATTTAGCAATTTTCAAATCCCCCTAACTGTACGAAAAAAGATTATTTTTTATAAACAATATTTTAGGACACCAAATTTCTTTAGTTGGTTTAAAAAGATTTCGTAAGGAACGCTTAGTTGAACGGTCGAACAATAACTACAAGCTAATTGCGCTCATATTTGACCCCTTTTACAAAAAGAAGACTTGGCTTGTGCGTCAAAAAAGTTACTATCTTATGCAGCTTAAAAATTTTGGAAAAGATTAGAGAATTGATTATATGAGAGTGTTACTTATGTATGAGCTAAGAAAATGGCCGTTTTAATCAAATTTGAAAACAAATGCAAAGCAATCAGATATCAAAAAAAACTTTAACTGAAAAATGACAAAATTTGAAGCGGTAGTGCTGCATTTAGGTATCTGTGCATTTGAATAGCAGTGCAAATCTGTTATTGTAAATTTTCAAAATTAGATTTTTTCGGTTTTGAAATTTTTTCCACTCATAACGGGTTCAGAGCTGGTTTGAAAATCAAATACAAATATCTAATCGGGAGTTCTCAAAAAATCTTTTTCTCGGTAGTTACCAACTAAGAAAAACCCATGTTTGAAAGACAACGAAAATTCTTTTCAGAGACAACAAAAATACAACGAAAATTCTCTGAAAGACATCAAAAATACAGAATCAGAGGTGCAATAAAATAGCGCTCGTTATATAAAAATTGGTCATTTAGGCATAGAGAATTTCAATTCACGAAAAAAAACTAGTTGTAAAAGTTTATTTTTTTTGCGCTCGCTTGGCAATGAAATCTTTAAAAAAATTAGAAAAATTTATCGAATAATTTTTCAAAAAGTTTGTTCAATACCTTTTGATTTTTAGTCACTATAGGAGACAAATTTTGCCGAATATGCCTAATTCCCTATCTTTTACGCGTTTTTATTGTTCTTTAACTACACCACGCACGGAAAACAACTTTAATTTGGTGACAAAAAAGAGAAAAAATATAATTTTGGTCTTTTTTGCTGTCGTCGGAATATTCTGTCCTGTTTACACAACAACCGGCTGTTCTCGTTATCTTTGCAATTAATAATTTTAGTAAAAACTGTTTTAATTTTTTAAATTTGGTTATTGATGCTACATTTTTGATGCAACTTCAGGTTACTCTCAAAGGGCCGTAAACGTGATATAAGCAAGCTCATCAATCGTTTTATTTAGTTGCACCATTTTTATGCAAGTTTTCGTTCCGATCATTGAAAATGGGGAGGAACTTTGTATTCGGGTGTGTTTTAAAATTTTGTTTTTTTTTTCCCACGCAAAGTGAGATACAATTATCAGAGTGAGTCCAATGATATATCATATTAAAGCTCTTTCAGTCGTGATTCGAATGATATTAAAAAAAAAACCAGTGTCGAAAAAACCAGTTTAAAATATCAGATTCTTCGTTTAAATTTGTGCGAGTAAAGCGAGCAAGTATGCTTATTTATGTTTGATTTAGGCATTCTGTGCTACTTGCACAGTAACCAGCTATCTTTGTTATCAAGTTTGGAGTTATTTTTCAGTTTTCTCCTCCGTTCCAAAAAAAAACAATTCAAAAGATGTTTCGCCATTTCAGAAGTGCGCCTGTGCTGTTTTCGAATTATTTTAGTTCTGGTCATTCAATATCAGATATTGAAGTTCATTAGCAAGCAGCGTTAAAAATGTCTCTTTTTTCAAACTTGAAGCCTCTATCTTTTGCTTCCAAACAGCCCTTATGTTGTTTCTCCGCCATAGTCGATTAGTATCAAATCTAATTTTTAAATCAAATCACAAAGGATGTTTGAAAATTAAACGAAAAGTGTTTTCTTGAATTGCGCTGAGCCATTCACAATGAAACTCTTGCCCATTATTGGCTATCAGAAATGTAAAAAGTGATTATGTTGGATCATTGCACCTAGATGGTTCAGAGTTGTTTGATAAATGTTACGTTTTTGAGCATAAAAGTATTGCTATACTAATGCTCAGGGGCGGATCTAGCATTTTCTCGAGGGGGGGGGGCGGATTTTCAAAAAGAAATCGAAAATTTTGACGACCTTTTTTTTAGGTCGATTAAATTGATTTTTTGAGCTCTCAAAATTGCGTTTTTTCGGCGCGCGCTCCCCCCTCAAAATTAGTAATTACTGGCGCCAAAAGTGCCTTAAGAAAAATTTTCGGGTCGGTCGGCCAAAAGGGGGTATCTTAAAAAGTACCAAAGGGGGACCCTTTGGGTCGGCAGGGTGTCGAATCCCTGAGGAAAAAGCGTCCGCCCCGCCGCCGCCCCCCCCTAAAACCGCCCCTGCTAATGCTGCACCAGTACCACCGATTTCGGACAGAAACGACGACGACTAGACATCCATCACGCTCAACACACACACACACGCTGCACCAGTAGTTATCAGCTCTTTGACTTCAACCAAGAGGTCAAGGGGAGTCGACTAACTTAAACCACTCGGAATTTTGTTGATCATCATTTTTCGAATGCCCCCAAAACTATCTCACGATGAATTATAAGCTGTAACCTTACTCACATTTGAAAATCAAATTGGGAAATATTGCCGGTGGACAATTTTTTGATTTTTTTCCACCATAAAACAGCATTTTTAGCATAAAACAGCATTTTAAGCACTTTTTTGTGCACAGTTTTGATATTTTTGTTCATGAGTAGAGTAATTTGAATTTCATGAAGTTGAAAGCAGTAAAGCAGTATAAGTCGGCTGATGAATGCCACTCATTTGCAACCCGTAACCAAATTATCAGTTGTTGCCTAGCAATTTTCATTGATATTTCGTGTTTTGCATCGAGCTAAATGATTATCAGCATACATCAGAGTTGTTGTTTTTTGAAATCTCAGATAGCATCTTCACCTTCAAACCTGAAAGAAAGCCAACAAACAGTTGCAAAACTGTAATTGAACGCAAGGAAACTTTTTGCGCCATTTCTGCTTTCGTAATTGAAGTGCGTAACTAGCCTTCAATTTAGCTTGAATTGAACTTGAAAACAAATCAGAAGTCAAATTGACGCTTTGGAAAATTTTTGGAAAGTTTTGACCAAAAATTTTGTTTTTGTTTTGGCAGATATGTCCTTCAAAATTAAAATATATTGGCCTCAATATATACTTTTTTTGCGCCCCTCCCCCAAATCCGCCCCTGTTTTATTATAATGTTGCATGGTTTTTTCTTGTTGACATCATCCTTTGTTGTATTCCGAGAGCAGCAAAGAGTTTGTTCTTGCTAATTGCTCATAGGGAGAAAAAGCACCCATTTTTATGAGTACTGAAATATTTTGAAAACAGATCCTGAATTGAAATTTTAATGTTGATTTTCACTCAATAACTACACGTACTTTGTTACTCAATAAACTGATTATTTCTAATTTACTCTTCGATGAAGATGCGTTGTCTGAGGCGCCCCTTGTTCAACAACTGACAGTCATCCACACTCTCCGGCATCTGCTGACCTCGGGGTTCAGGTAAGTTCACACATGCCGCAGCACTCACTATGGACAGAGCGACCATGACCAGGACACTGACGCCTGGCAGTTGCACATTGAGTGTAGCAAGATAGGGGAACGGGAGAGTCACCAGTCGTGCGATACACGAACACAGACCAACACCTGTTGATAGCAAATGAAAGTCTACCAATATCACACACATTTTATCACAACGTCCCCTTCCACTAATTATTTATGCTTATGTTATTAGTCCATCAAATTTGCCTCATTCAAACTATCAGGCGTTTAATAAATTGTCTTAAGCACGGCAACAAACATGCAAGAAAATGTTTCCTTTCGTAAACTCCGTTTGTTTCCCGTGATTACTAAGTGCCTGTGTTCAAAATTGTTTTTCTTACCTGTGCTGCGTGAGAGTGTCGGAAGGGTCTCGGCGACGTGTAGAAATACCATGTCGACAGTGCCAGTCACGAACATCTTGGTCAGAGACGCACACAGCAACATCAGTATGGGAATGTCTAAAAGGAATCACTCTCAGAGAAGATCAGCGTCTCCAATTGGGTTAGATTTGTTCACATCATCCCCATTTAAGCAAATAATTTGTGCCAAACTTTTAAGCACTGAAACAAACCCTAAAAAGTTTTCTGAAATTTTGTGAGAAAATATTAAAATTCCTCTAGCGTTTGAATGGACTATGCTGTTGTATACAATTTAAGGAATAGTAAAAACTTCCATCTGATAATAAAAAAAGTATTTTGTTCAATAGTTGCCTCCTTTGGAACCTTGTAACGAATTGAACCCCCTGTGATAGGGTAACTAATGCGGTAAATCAGTTAAAAACAGATTTAAATCAAAGAGTTAATTTAGTCTTTGAAGCTAAGGTTTTTATTTTCTATTTTTCTTGGTTCCGTGAACCAGCTCATGTTACCGTATCTTTTGTACGAAAAGCTCATATGACAACTAAAAATAAGTCGATTCCATGTTCCACACCAAATGATAGTAATACTAAGTTAATAACGATAAAATTACAGATAACAATATGAGTCACAAAATTAGTGTGCAGCGAGGTCAACAATGGTTACTGCACAGGCAGTATGTGCTGTGCCACACTCCCCTGGGTTAACTAAATTTATAAAGTATACTTATAAAATTTTAGTAAATAGATATGAGTTTTGGTACTCAGTTTAATTAATTTTGGAAAATCAGATTGTCCTTTTCTGAATTCGATTCCATTTCTCACTTCTCTTCTCGTTTCTCGGGAATGTCGTCATCAAAATTCAGAGGGACCCGCCACGATGCATTCCAGGTTCTCGAGACATTCAGTGCTGCACTACCAAATTTTCGTCTAAACAGATGTTTCTCGAGTAAGCCTAGTTTTGTATCCACTGGTTTGTTAACATCTGTTCTGAAGTTTGCCAATTCTATTCTATACGCCTCCAGAGCTGCCTTGTTGAGCTCTGTTATGTCCTGTTCAGAACTGATCAATTTCACCGAATATTTGATCGGATTCCCATATCTGCTGGGCGCCTTATTCAATGGTATGACGTTCACTGCGCCTCACTGTAACGTCATTGTTGCCTGAATAATCGGAGAATCCTGGTGGAATGTTTATGTTTTTCTCGCCTTCCATATCCGTCGATTTCAGAATGTCTTATGCTGCTTTCTGTACCCCTCTCGTTAGTACTTGGTCGGCTAGTTTGTTCCATTCGTCAGTAGTCAAATCGCGGCTCTGGAAAGTTTCTAGTTTTTTGTCTGCCGATGTATGCCTTGTGGTTTCTTTGCTATTTTCGTGTAGTTTTTTCCTTGGAGTAGACGTGCTCGGGAAGTATGCTTTCGCAGGGGATAATAGTGTGCTCGTATTTTGTGCATTGGATGGTCCCGAATCATTTGCTGCAGTTGCAGCTTTTTGTCGTCTTGCCTCTTGGCAAGTTTGCTTCTTCTCACTTTGTTTGGTTCCTTTGGACACCGAGCTCCATGAATTTTCCAATACTGGTCCCGCATTGTTAGGTTTTGCCCGTTTTACTGAAAGGTTGAGGCCCCCGTTCACCTCTGTGTCCTTGGATGTGACATCTAAATGGCTTGTTATAGCGCTGCGGCATTAGCCATTTTTGATCTCTCTTGTATTTCCGGTATTTCATCTGAATCGCTATTTGCTGTCTGTTTTTTGCTTTCTTTTTCTTGGATTTCGTTTTAGGCTCGTCTCCATGTGGGCTTCTACTTGCGTTGCCTTTCTTTGGACTTTTTCCTTCTGCTCACTGGTGTCAATTTTTGCTTGAGCGATGTCGCTTTTTCTATAACTGCACCAGCAGCCGACTTCACTGTGTGGGGAGTCTCTGATTATACCTTGCCTTTTAGTGGATTTGTTAGTGCTTTTCCACTCTTTCGATTTTCATCCTTTCTCAATAGGTTGGGTGATCTTGGCTCGTCCTCCTGAGGTTTGTCTTCAATGAAGCCATACTCCCACGAATACAAGAGTTCTTTGCGCAAATCAAGATTGATCGTACTCGTTTCGTCGACAATTCGCCTCAAGTCGTTAGCGGAGGTGTCTCCTCTAGTTGCGTTCCACCGAGCGCTTGCTTCCAAAAGCGTCTTTCACTCTTTCGCCCGGTCCTTGTCTTGCGCGGACTCCACTTCGGTTTCAAACAGTGGGCTCACCTCTCGACTGCTTTGTCCCTTTCTGACGATTATTACGTTGTCTCTTGACTGATCAATTCTTTTCCTGAGCTGGGAGGCAGTTAGTGCTGAACGCTCCAGATGTTCTTTATCGTAGCGAGTGCAACTCCTAATTTCTTCAGCCATATTCACAACATTCTTGTGCATTTGTGGCCACCACAGTTATCTGGACACGTCCAGCATTGCCTCCTGTCTTGGGTGGCCGCGATGTATCCTCTTTAGAACTGCCGGACGCAGCTGGCCTGGCACGGCCAATCTACTGTCCACGATGATGCAATCGTCAACGAAGGACATCTGGTGCCATAGCGAATTCGTATAAGGGCCCATTAGCTCGAAGCTGTGTCGATCTTTTTGCTCTATGACCCTTCTCAGCCTGTCCATCCATGTATTTTCTGTGGTAAGTTCTGCTAGAAGATTTCGATCAAATAGTTTCGAAAGATTGAGTAAGTTGTTTTCCTCCAGTTGTTCTGCCTGCCTGATTTCGTCCTGTCTCGATTTCCTTTCGGTCCTTCTCCGCGCAACTATGCTTACTTCTGGCCTTTCTGACGGTGTATCGGCTGTAAGATCCACTTCAATGATTTTTGAATCATTCGCCTTTGGGTTGTCTCCTTATGGGCTTGTCATTTCCGTTGACGCTTCCAATTCCAACATGTTCTCCGGTGTTACTTTGTCAGTTCGTTCTGATCCCACTAAGTCCCAAAAAGACATTAGTTTCATTGGTTCCGCCCGTGATGATGTTGATTGTCCCCTGTCCTTTCGTTTGTTAGGTGTTACTTTCCGCCATTCGGCTTGCGGTATATCTGAGTCCGAACTGTCTCAATCATCTCCAGTTGCTCCTTTCTGTACTGTTCCTGTTCTTTGATAGGTTGTGTCTGTTACTTGTTCTAGCATTTGATCCCGTCTCCCCTCACGATCCATTAATTTCACTGTTTTGTACGGTTTTTCTTCCATCTGTTCTTTTGCGAATTTCTTCTCCTGCTCTCCTGCTAATTTTTTCTCTTTTTCGTTTATTTTAGTATCAACCGACTGTTTTCAATGAGATATCTTGCTTAAAATGTTTTGTTCGCAATTTGAGGAATGTGAGTTTTGACCGTTTTCGTTCCGATCGAGCATTGTTCGTTTTTGAACAGAACGGTTGCTATAGCAACCATGAGATGACGTGTCCTGTGCGTTGTCCAGTTTGTGTCCTAATGCAGAACGTTCTAGAATATTTTCATTTTTATTGCAAGTATTGTTTGTTGTATCAATTAGACGATTGTTTAAACAGTCGAGTGCTTTATGAAATTGATCAATCGACGCTCTAACAAACTTTTCATCCAATTTTGACTCAGGCCACGGTTCCCCAATTGAGTATCTTGACAAATAATCAACAATCCCCATATCTTTACCTGGTATATGGAACACTTTAAATTGGTAAGGAAGCAGACGGTCTACCCACCTTGTGAGTCTAGATTGATAAGTTTTATTAGATTTATGTTCCCCTAATGCTGATGTGAGGGCTTTATGGTCTGTCGCTGGAATGAAATCTTTTCCTGATAGATAGTGTTTAAACTTATCAACTGACCATACCACTGCAAGCAATTAGAGCTCATTTGTTGAATACTTCTTTTCTTGCAAATTAAGATAACGTGATGCGAATGCAATCGGTACCCATTCGTCCCCGTCTGTTTTTTTTGCTCCAGAGTTGCTCCGAGGCCGCTGTGGCTTGCGTCGCGTTTTACCCGAGTATCTTTCAGGGGGTCATAGTAATTAATTTGTGCGATCCGTGCCACCGCCTTTTTTATCTCTTCGAAAATAAGGGAGTGCTGTTCCCCCCACTCGAACTTTTTGACGGGCAATTTGACATTTTTCATTTTCTTTTTCTCGTTTTCTTCTCTAAGCAACGGTTCAAGCTGATCGGTTAAACTCGCTGCGTTTAGGAATAAATTTAGAGAGTTGGTTGATCCTACCCATAAACGACCTTAATTGTTTGAGGGATTTTGGATGTTGTAGGTTGAGTATTGCTTCTGTTTTGGTAACCTTAGGTGTAATACCACTTGGTGTAAGTTTATGTCCTAACCAATTAATTTTTGTCTGAAAAAATTCGCTTTTCGCTAATTCTAGCGCCAGAATTTTGTCATCCAGTTTTTTAAAACATCTAATACCAGCTTTTCGTGTTCTATTATTTCCCCTTTGGAGACAATCAAAATGTCGTCCAAGAAGCAAAATGTGTTTTTAGCATGGTTTAAGGTACGATCCATAGCTTTTTGAAATTTTGCGGGCATATCCGCTAGTCCTTTGAACCCTGTCATGAACCTGTATGTTCCTGTCGCTTGACCGCAGACAATGTTGAAGTTACGTTGCTTTGCTGTTTCAGCAGTTAATCGAATTTGGCTATACGCGTACTTCAGGTCAAGTAACGTGAAATACAGTGTGACAGTTACTATTTGACTTATTCCATCTAATAATTCATCAAAATTTGGCATTTGATATTTGTTTTTGTACAGTTGCCTATTTATCGGTTTTTTCATCTAATGCCAATTTGATGAAGTCATTTTTTTCACCGTTATTACTATTGAAGCAATAAAACAGTCACTTGTGCATTTGTCCAGCTTTGTTATATGACCTTCTGATAACAATTTTTCAAGTTCTTCTTGCACTTTTTCTTGAATATGAGTGGGTATTCTTCTGCGTTTTTTTGGTATTGGACATAGCGGGTACTTGAATTTTGTGTTAACTACGTGATTTTTCGATTTTCTCTGACGATCAAACAGAGACGGAATTTTTTTTATAAATTTGTTGTTTCATACCTTCTGACTGCTCGCACAGTAGCACGTCAAACCTGGATCTATTTGTAGGTGCTGATTTCTGAGATGTATGAATCCCCATTTTCCCTTGTAAATCCAGGCCCAGATTACATCTTGCTCGACGTTCTGTGACAAGCAAAGATACATATCGATCCTCCCATCCCGCTGAACGGATATTTGCACTTACTGCTCCTAATATTTGGATTGGGTGTTTGTTGTAGTCTACAAACTGCGTTGTCAAGTTCAATTCTTCAGCTGGGATGAATTTGATTTCGGATGATCCATCCAGTAATTGCTTTGCTGTTGTCCCATTTAGGAACGATACGGGGCTTCCTGTATCTATCCTCATATTGATGTTTTGGTTTTTTACTCTAACCAGCGCTTTCAATGCTTTTATTTGATGCAATCTTGGATCTCGTCATAAATTGATTTTTCTGATATCTTGAGTAACCTTGGTTTTGTTTTCGTTTTCTATTCCTAATGCTATTTCTCCAAACCCTTTGTCGAGTGGTTTCCTTGACTTTTGTTCAACAACCATAATCTCGAACTCATTGCAGTAATCAAAGCTCTGAATTAAATGTACTATCTTCCTCTGAGCAAGAGTTCTCTTCCGCGATCTCGTTTTCTTGATTCGAGCGGCACATTTTTGCGAAAAGTTTTTGTTTATTACAGCTCTTGCAAGTCTTCCCCATTGCTAGGCAACTTTCAAGTGACCTGCTCCGAATAATTTGCCACATCGTGTGCATGGCCTGGTTTCTGTTCTGTTCGCGAATTTGCGTTTCTGTTGTCATTCCACTTCTTTTTGGACTGATCTCTATTCCGTCTTTTGTAGTTTGAGTTTCCATTTCCAACTGCCATTATAGGTTCTTGTTTTATTATGATTTGTGGAACGCTTGTGTCGTTTGTTTACTCTGCACAAACTTAATAGCTTGTTTGAGTACTTCGTGTGGCATAAACATTTCGAACGTCAGGGTATCCTGTAGCGCTGTATTTTTCATTCTAGATAAGAATAAATCTCGTAACATTTCTTCTTCCAATCTGCCCAATTTAGCCGTAGCTGCCTGAGCAGTTGGTGCTGCGTGGAACGACTCTAACGTCTCTTCAGTTTCTTGGGCTCTGATGAATAGTCTATATCGCTCGTACGTGATGTTTTTTTTTCATATGATTCTTTAGCCAATTTCACTATTTCTCTAAATTCGAGTTTTGATATTTCCGTGTGTGGATTTTCCTGTATGATTGTTTTCCCCTCCGTGCCTAGCGCCAGAAAAAGACGAGACGTAAGCCGTTTCTGGACATCGTTGTAGTACAAATTGTGTCCGATTTTAGGTCCGTGTTCCCTTCTTTCTTGGTTTTCGAGTATTACTTTGTCTCTTGCTAGTCTATCTCTCGCCTCCCGGTCCGCTGCTGCCTATGCATCTTCGTTTGTTCCCGGAGTTTATGGGCAAAGAATTAATTCGTCAATGACTTTTTTTGAATCTTCTAGTAATATCTCAGGATTCACATTTTCTTTTTTTGTCACTGCTAGCATAAATTGATCCAACCAAGTTTCAAAGTTCCACGGTGGATCCGAACTAGCTGATGTCCAGAAAATTGGGATGTCTATATTCGTTCGGTTATCCTGTGCCATCAATCCTGCTGGCTGCGCCATGTGATAGGGTAACTAATGCGGTAACTCAGTTGAAAACAAATTTAGTTCAAAGAAGTAATATAGTCTTTGAAGCTAAGGTTTTTTTTCTATTTTTCTCAGTTCCGTGAACCAGCGCATGTTACCGTATCTTTTGTACGTAGAGCTCATATGACAACTAAAAATAAGTCGATTCGATGTTCCACACCAAATGACCTTGATACTAAGTTAATAACGATATAATTACAGATAACAATATGAGTCCCAAGGTTAAAGTGCAGCGAGGTCAACAATGGTTACTGCACATGCAGTATGTGCTGTACCACACCCCCGATCAAGAAAGAATTGAGCAGTTAGGCGTATACAAATTTCGCATCTTGTAACGAATTGGCCCTTGTGCAAGAAGGAAGTAAATAGTTAACAAGATTCAAAAAGAAATATTAAGAAAATTATTGCTGATTTTTGCAGCTTTCTTCGAAAAAATTTTTCCTCTTGTTTAAGAGTCATGACTCTAAAGTGTACATTAGAATTATGTCAAAAATAATAGTCTGAAAACAGATCGTTTACTTTTTTTATCGACCACCCCCAGCGGAGAGAATTTTCATAGTCTAAGGTTTGTGTTTTTCATGCAGAAGCGGGTTTCACTAATCAATTTGAGTTGAGGTTGCGTTATATATTGAGATTATTTAGATGATTGAGAATCTCAATCATCTAAATAATCTCAATTTGAGATGTATATTTATCAGTGGTGGTTGAGATTATGTAAATACAAAACGTTTTCTCACTGTCCAGAAAAATTAACCCGAATTTTTTTTTTGTTGCTTCTGAGTCCCAAATCTAGTTGAGAGCGGATAAATTTAGCCTTCACTCTGTCTTTAATTAGAAAATCAACATTTTATTTTCCATTTGCACAACGCATAATGGTCAATATGGTTAAACCAGCTAAGACAATAGACTTACAAAAAATCGCGCATAGTAACAGAACAATGTGAACATCTGGACGAAGCATGAACTTTTGTAAGTCTAATTGTAGATACAAAAAAGAATGAGATTTTTGAAACTTTCTAGGATTTTTTTTCACCGTTTTTTTTTCTAGTTCATTTTTCTTTTAAAATCTTAATTGTAGTCGGAGCTTCTGTGCTGCCTGTACTTCAACCGGGGTTTCTTGTATAATTTGAGCTTATCCTCAAAAACAAAAAATTCAGGCGGAATTTTGAAATCAGTGGATTTTTGCCGAGCTCAAAAAACCAACCGGAGAATCCCTGAAGGAGGATAAGAGCGAGTGCGCAGAACATCATGCCAGTGATTGAAGTGGCCCTTCTGCCAATGATGTCCATAAGAAAGATGACCAGCAGCACTCCTGGGATCTCAAATAGACCCATCATTAGCTGGTAGCGATAGAAACTGAAGTTGAATACCCGATCACCACTGTTCATTGTGTAGTACAAAAACAGGCCACCCGAACTGACAACAGACAAATTTCAAAATTAAAACTACTTGTTCACGAGAAAAAGGACCAACATATTACCGTTCGGATTTTTTTTTTGGAGAACGTTTGCCATGTATGTGTGTTATTGAGACCTTGAAACATTGTTGGTCATTATTTTTTTTGATTGTGAATTATTTCCTCGCTCTTTGTTTTCTAGTTCAGATGTTGGCTGGTCTCGTGATTAGCTCTGTGAGAGGGTAGATTTCAGCCAAACTTATAGCTACTATTTACATGAGATGCTTCAAAGTAAATTTTGCTATTATGAAAATTTTGAGCTCTTTTTCCTCTCCCCCCCCCCCCCCCCCACCTGCAAATTTTTACATGTAAATTTCTTGACCACATTGTCCGATTGTTATGAAAATTTACATACAGACTAATAAGGCCACGACAAACATATTTGGTCTTCATACTCAACCTCGTAAAATCACTCGTTACACTAATAAGTTGAAGCTGGCGTGAGGTGGGGGGAAACGGAAAAAGAGCCAAATTTTGAACCCACCATTAAGAAATTGAACAACAAAAACATATAGAGCCCTACTACTTTTACAGAACAAAACCCAACCACTTTTACAGAAAACTGAACGAGTTTAGAAACTAAGTAAGAACAAATCTGTTGACTTAATTGTACAAAAAATATTCTAAAACAAATTGTGCAATATGATAGGGTTCTTGTCTGTGTCGAAAGAGGAAGCCAAAGTACGGCTATAGGAAAACTAACAGATAATTTTATGAATTTTATTTTTTTCCCATTCAATGTATCAAACTAATGAGATTTGATTGTTGAAGAGAACTGCTGGTACATCAACGTTCTGACTGCCATGCAACCATTTCACTGGAAAAAACTGTAAGAATAAAAATTTTAAATTTTTTTTTCATCCCCCATCAGCAAATATAAAATAGTAAGTATGAAAATTCAGGTAAAATGAGGAATTACAAAAACTATTTTCAATGCCTAAAATCAGATTGAATCAATTTTGAGCGCGGGATATTTCGCCACGCATAAGTAATTCACTTTTCAGTTTCAATGAAAAAAAACTTTCGAAGCGAGCATAAATTAGTCCAGAACATTGCAAAATTGCCCCAGAACTAAATGGGAAGACACATTGGGTTCAACTGCTTTTCTTTTCAAACTCCGGGAGTCTTCTTATGGACAAGTTCGTAATTTATTTTTAATTAGACTTTTTGCTAATCCATTATGATCAATCAAAAACCTGCTTGAACCCACCCAATTATGTTGAAAGTAGTGGGCAGCCTGCAGTACAAGACGGTTCAGTACAAAAACTAAATTTTTTGATGCATCGAGTGGCCATAAGTGGCCAGATTTCTAAATGAAGAGCACAAAACATAATGTCCGTTTACGAAGACAAATCTGATATATACTTTTTCAGAGTATTATCTAGTTTGTGCTAAACCATTGTAAAATTTGTCTCATTTTTGTTTTTTCTTTTTTATTATTAAAATTCAAGTTTCAATCCTACTTAAACTTTTGTCATCTTTTTTTTGGAAAAAATGTTTCCTTGAAGAATCTCGAAAAAGTAACCAAAGGCAAGAACTTGACTCGTGCCTTAGCAATTTAATCCCAGGACAATCGCCCTAACATTCGGGATGCTAGATTGGGACTAGGGCTGGCAAACTCTTAAGCTTTGCGTTTATGTGCCAACAGTTCGAAAAAAGCTGACAAAATGATCGGGTTATAAGTTTAAGTTAGCGACTGATTCTTAAATTGATGATTTTTAGGCATTTGGCATTGGATATACCTTTTTAAAATTTCTAGAGCGGCTGAAATTGTCTGGAAAAAGAGGCCATTTTAGTCAAAGGTCTTCTAATTGTTTGCGGGCTTTTGAAGTTCATTGAACTATTGCTTGCTTTCGGCTCGTTTTGGAATGATTCATATCAAATAGTGACAGGGCCATTTCATTTCGGTTTGGAATGATCTATTGAAGTTATTGGCAAGGTCCTTTTTTTATCAGAACTTACGCGAATTAAGCAGCGAAAAATGGTCTGGCTTTAAATTGCAAAATTTCTCTCGTTTAATTATTTGATGTTTAGCGAAGTCCCGTTTGAATTAAGTTTTCTTTTTATATTATATTAAAACGGTGTTAAATTAAAGAAAAGATTTTAAATTTTAGCGATGTTAATTTGCTAAGGCAACAAAAAGTAGGGAGTGAGATTGTATGGTGTTAAGTTGGTTAGAGTTAAAAAGTGGGGAACCGCTCAAACATCTTTGTTAAAAACTAATATTTCGATCTCCAAAAAATACACTGAAAACAACCCCCCCCCCCCCAAGCATTTATGTTCCTTCAAAAAAACATGAAAAAAAATTCAGATCTTTCTTATAAAAATTGCTCCCAGTAGCTATGTATAAGTCATAAAGAGTTGTTATTTGCCCTTTAGCTAATCCACATTGCTCGCTGCGAGTCAATTGGGAACGATTGCTGAGACAGATAAAGGGAACACTTACGTGTTAATTGCACGCAACAAATTGCTCGTTAAATTTTTTCCAAATTTGCCAAATTGGCCATTTTCAATTCCACATAATTTTACAAAAACTGATCAAAGGTAAAAATATTTTTTGATACAGTTTGAGCTCAGATCTTCAAGCGGTTTCCGATGTTGTAAAAAAAACTCCTTTCAAAAGTTTTTAGTTGAAAAGTCGAATTTTGCCAGAAGAAAAACAAACTAAACTGAGAACAATTTTTCCATCCTTTCCTTGTAAAAAGGACCATTAGTCTTGGAGTACTAGATGGATATTTGCAAAAAAAACTAAAAGAAAAAATATACTAGAAAAGCAATTATTTGCTTCATACCTAACAACGGAGAAAAACCAAAGCCACTTTCGCATCATTCGGTTGTTCCAGGTCATCTTGATGGTGTCCCAGCTGCTGTGATTGGCCGAAATATTCGGGTTCCTCACAAACAAGTACTTGATCCTCTGGCAACAAGTAGGAGGCGCACTTTCGCTTTGGATCAGTTTGTCCATCCGTTTCCAAATCTTTTTGGGAATTTTGGTTTTCGCCTTCCTGTCCAGGTCTCTCATGACTTTTTTGAAGTCTGTGTATTTGCCGCACTCCAGAAGCCAGCGTGGACTCTCTGGCATCATGATTCTACATAAGTCGGGTTCTATTTGAAGTGCAAAGTGAAGAAAAAAATTGGCTTATTGTGACAAAGACAATTAAAAACATTTTGAGGGTAATGAGTATTTGCTTTAAAAGAGATACGAAAATAAGTTTTTGCCTTTAAAGTGTTGAGATTGCTTTTACCGTTTTTACTTTACCCTCAATTCCAATTCTTATGTGACTAAGGTTCAATTTTATTGCGCAAAAAGTTCTGAGAAATCTGATTTTCTCAAATTTTTTCAGGGGTTTTTAAGTGATTACGTTTTTCTTTCGCTGTGACTTTTGAACTATAAAATAAGAAAACAGGAAAAATTACGGAGCAAGCTAACAATTAACCTCCACCTGTAGCTCTCAACCCTCTTGAATCTTCAAGCTCACCGAGTAAATGGCTTAACAATAATCGGGAGCGGAGGATTTCCTGTTAATAACTTGGACTAAAACTAAAAGTACTCACAATATGTAGAGCATGAGCGGCATGTTGAGCAGTATGCAGCTGATGGTAAAAAGACGCCAGGTGCGGATGAAGAACCCAATGCCAGTGTACATAGCCATACCCAGTCCGAAGCCCATACCTGGCGACATAGCGAACAGGGCTCGGAACTTGGGTGAAACTATCTCGGATCCTGAAATTAAGCACGCTTGCCAAAACTCAGGTCTTGGTCTAGACCTTATTGGACAACAAAACTGCCACTCAAACACGAGGAACATAATGAGCCTTGATTTTCAATTCTTACCATACACAACAGCTATTGCGTATTTGGACATGCTGATCATGGACGCAAAGCTGGAGAAATAGAAGGCCATGAATATATTGGTGCTCATAAATGCGCCCACGTTGAACCCTATTTCCATCAACAGCTGCCACATCAATGCCTTCCTTCGTCCACATCTGAAAGTAGCCAATGAGAAAAAACTAAACTTGATCTCAAAAACTGCAAGAATAAGATTTAATTAGAACTGAATTTTGGACAACAAAAATTCATCAAATTTAGTCTCATCAGCTTCAGTGTTGCCAGTTTTGTCTGAAAATTCAAACAGACTGCAACCAATTTTTCTTCACAATAAGACAGGGCGGATCTAGGCTTTTCTCGAGAGGGGGGATTTTAGAAAATTTGATTACTTTTTTTAGGTCCGCAAAACTGATTTTCCGAGCTCTTTTAAAATGCAATAATTACCTTATTTTGACTAATTATCTGCGCCGCAAAAATATTTTTTTATTGAAAAAAAGCTTTTTTTAGGAACTTTTTGGAAAGTTTTGACCAAAATTTGTTTTTTCGGCACGCATGCCAACTCTAAATTAGCATAAATTGACTCCAAAGGCGCTTTTTCAAAAGTTTTAGGATCACACGAACAAATGGACATTGTTAAATAATACCAGAGATGACCCTTCGGGTGGCGAGGGGTCGAATCACTGAGAAAGAAAAAGAGAAAGAAGCCCCCCACATCTACCCATGCACTAAAACAACTTTATAACTTGTTTAGGAATCCGAATCACAGCTTAAATAGTTTAATATGGTACCACACGTCATCCAAGACGAGGCAGTCAAAAACTGTCAGAAAAAAAACAACTCTAGTCACCATTCCTTCCACCTTCCGAGAGTGGTCGGAACCACGAGAGAAGCTTATTTTGTTACAGCAGCGATGAAAAATCAACCACAGTCATCAGTGCAAAAATTTTTTTAACCCTTTTGGACTACAATTTTGACCCCGATAGATACCAAATTGGCCTAAATTTACGAAATTTAGAATTATAAGCAGCCGACAATCCTTACAATTTTTTTTGAAAAAAAATAGTGGCATCACCTGCCTATAAACCAGGGGCGGATCTAGGATCTCCTCGAGGGGGCAGATTTTCAAAAAATTTTCAAAAACTTTGTCGACTTTTTTTAGGTCGAGCGAATTAATTTTTTGAGCTCTCCCTAAGCACGATTTAGTCCCTGTTTTATGGGGTGGATCAGGGGTGGATCTAGGGTTTTCTAGGATTTTCCGAGCTCTCCTAAAGTACTAAAAAAAACCTTGCTTTGGCCAAATTTTGTGCGCCGCAGCCAAAATTTTGAGAAAACAGTCCAAAAAGGCGTTTTTAGACTCTTTTTGGAAAATTTTGACCAAAAAATTGCGTTTTTTTGGTGCGCGCTCCCGCCTCAAAATTAGCATATATTGGCGCCAAAGGCGCCTTTGGAGCAATTTTAGAGTCGGTTGGCCAAAAATGGATTTCTTAAAAAGTACCAAAGGGGGGACCCATCCCCCCCCCCCTAAATCCGCTACTGCTGTAAATGTAAGATAAGGTTAAAGCCCACACCAAAAAATTAGCTGCAAAATTTTTTGTGAAACTTGTCAAAAGCTTAAGAAAAGCAATAATTACCGTACAAAATTAAAAACTGGCCATTGCTAATTTCTTATACAATTATGTTTTCATATGTCTGTGAAACAATTCTTGTAATTTTGAACTACATTAATCAAACCTTTCTACATTCTCATTACAAAAAACGGTTGATCAAGCAAGTCAGTATAATAAATTTTTCTTTGCCTTAACTTTTTAATGACTTTCTCCAACTAATTGTGGTTACTTTGGAAAAAAAGTTCTTGCAATTTTTGTTGACAGAATCCAATAGTTGTAAATCGAAATGGATCTTTTTAGCTGCCCTCTCACCCCCATGACAGTTTTGGGTGAAATCGCTAGATAAAAATCTTCGACGTTTTTGCTTCTAAGATGTCGATAAACATTTTTATTCCTACCACGGCACAAAATCACTAGAAAAACCTTGGCACAGGGTCACCATGTCACTTTTATTATGTTCAACTATGATGCCATCACAATTCTCACTAAAAATAAATGCGATCGAAATTAAGATCTTGGAGGTTTTTTTAAACTCGAACAATAATTTGAACCGTAATTCTATACAGTTGCGGATCCAGGATTTTCTCAAGATAGGAGGGCGGATTTTCAAACCTTTTTTTGGATAAACTCATTCTCCAAGTTCTCCCGCAGCAGTAAAAAGACCTTGTTGTAGCCGAATTTTTCGCGCCGCAAGCAAAATTTTGAAAAAAAACAGGACAAAAATGCGTTCTTAGGCACTTTTTGGAAAATTTTGACCGAAAAATTGGGTTTTAAGGCGCGCGCTTCCCCCTCAAAGTTAGTATGTATTGGCGCCAAAAATGGACATCTCAAAATAGTACAAAGGCGCCGCCCCTCGCCCGCCTTCGATACAAAGGTGATAGATGGGTCACGGTCATTATTTGCCATGATGACCGTTCGTGAGTGGGGACTCGAATCACACTATTTTGAGCTAATACAGCAATTAACCAATCAATATGCGCCGGTTGGTCTTTTCAAAACATTTTCTCAAATGTAATTAACCTGCCTCGTTTGCGCATCCTTACTCAATTTTTAATCTTTCACTGTCATCATCAGAAGCACCAAATTGAACAATTTTGCCGCATTCTATTTACATTAGGGACCCTGTTACTTTCTTACGACCCCTCTATTACAATTGTACCGTTATTTTTTGTCACTTTGGTCTACAACAAAGAAAATCAGTAGAGGGTTAGTTGGGGTTTCAGAATTGGCCGTGGTTGATTTAGATTTCAGTAAAAAGCAAAACAATTGCCATTTTGATGAGAATAATAAGTCTCAAATTTTGTATGAGAAAACTTAGTCCCACTGATTTACACGTCTCTGAAAAATGGAACAGTTTATAGCGAGTGACAGATTGAGCTTGTTTTCTTGTCCTACTGCATGTTAACGTGATATTAACTCTAATAATTTAGCAAATTGAAAAATTGGAAAAATTATAGAATATACTCCCACCAGCTACAAAAAAAACTGAAAAAAGTTTTAAAATTTCACAATATATCTTGTGTATTTATCAGTGACTAGAAAAAACAATACACTTTGATCTATTTTTTCAAAATTTTTCTTCAAAAAATAATTTGAAGTACAAAATGATCCATTTTGCACCCAAATAATGACATAGTTGAATCAATTACTATGCCTCAATTCAGCTTCGCCTCGAGCACAATACTTCATTTTTCAAAATTTTGCCTGTAGGGCAGAAAATTTTGGCCAAATCAAGGACTTTTTAGTGCTTTGGAAGAGCTCGAAATGTCAATTTGGTCGACCTAAAAAATTGTCATCCAATTTTTCAAAATCTTATGAAAATCCGCTCCCCTCCCTCGAGAAGATCCTAGATCCGCCCCTGTTTCACACCATTGGTGATGGATTGATTAATGACAGATCATTGCACAGTTATTCTTCATTGCACTTTTTCTTCAGCTGTTGATTACTATAACTGAAATAGCCGGATTTTTCTGTGCGTTCTTTTCAAAGCTAATGGCTTATTAAGATAATGAATAAAGTGATTGATATAACTTGATTTAAAGTTTTCAAGAAATTTAATTATTTTGAGCTTACATGTCGGCCATGGATCCAAAGAAGAATGCACCTATGGCCGCTGCGAACATGTGGAGAGACTTGGCCGACTTCTGGAAGTAACTTCGATCACACACGACTGCGAACTGGAACGAAACAAAAGGAGCGAGATAAAGGAGCGAGATAAATAACAAATGGCATTGAAAACATTAAGGGTTTTGCCAGATTCAAGCAGTCTTATTTTGAAAGCAGTCAGATTCGAGCATTCATAGTTCCGCTCGTTTTAGATCTCGTTAATTTGGAAAAAATACAACTATATCCCCAAAGCACTATCAAAAATTAACGAAAAGAAACGTATGTTAGTAATAATAGACTTGTCTCTCAAATTAAATTACTATTTATAACTTTGGCAACAAATTCATTTTTAATACTAGTTTGTGAGATGAGTTGGTTTATTTATACAATACTGAGACCATACCTGGGAAAAGACTGAGTTCTGGACAGTATGTGGGAGCCACTCGAACCCATCCATCTCCTCGCACTTTCTATACGTAGCTGCACTCAGCACCACAGAATCATTAGGGTTACCCATCATCAGCTCATTCACAGTCACACTCTTGTTGGCTGCCTCCTCGATTAGAAGCTTCGGATCTGCGTCCAAGGCTGTGCATCCGTTGTTGTAGTCCGTAGATCTGCTCCAGCAGCCGTACTTATCGGAATCTTAAAAAAAAAACTAAAATGGTTCCACCTGCCAAACGCTGCTACTAAACAGCGAATCCCATTGTCCATATTGAATATTACAATCAAAATCTGTTCAGATATCACACGAAATAGGTTTTCATGGATGCAAATATGATTTTGTGTTTTCAGACAACGATCTAATTTGTTCAGAAATGATAATATCGGAAATGATAATGTTATGTATATCTCATTAAATGTTTGATCGCTGCCGAACATCAATCTACTATATATCCGGAACCTAAAATGTGTGAAATTCCCAAACATTCAAGCTGACCTCATTTTGTTGACCTCAATTTTTTTTTGTTTTTCATTGCAGCTGTAATGACGGCTTCTTCAGAGCGTTAAGCGTATATTTGGCGCATGAAGTTTCCTTATAATTTCCTTGTTTCCTTGAAAAACACCACGGCCGAATACATGGTTATTTTCTACCTCGTTGCGCAACAAAGATCGTTGACCGAGCAAAAATAAAACTTGCAGAGATAGGAAAAATGGCATTGATTATCACAATAAACCAGGGATGGTAAAAAATGCTAGTTATACCCTTCTTAAACAATTTTCCTTACCTCCCGTACAGTACATTAAATAAAATGAAAAATTTATGACTAACACTTTGTCATATATAATAATTGTATGACTAGTATTTTTTCATTTTAAGGAAATGTATGACTACCCTTTTTCTATACATTTCAAAATGTTTGTTTGACTGCAGAATTGAATTTTCGAGAAATAAAAGTACGAAAATTTTTGGGGATTTTTTTGTTCTTTATTCATCTGAAAGTTTTTGTTCTCCCGAGAAAGACTGGTCAGACAAATCTTATAGTATGGGAAATGTATGACTAGTATTTCTTACAGACAAACTGTATGAAATTGTTTGAGCTTCATTTTCAGTGTAACGAAGTTCACCCGGGGTTCAATATGGGAAAACTGTTTCCCCCTCTTCAACTCTCCCAATCTTGGAAAGTGCGTTTTTCTAACCAATTTAAAAAAAAACATATAAAAATTAGATGTAACGAAGCCGTATTAAAAAATGAGTGTAGTATAACAATAAAGTGGTTTCAATTGCAATTGTGATTTCATATCCAAAAAATTTCATAGAATAAAATCTTCAGTGTTCTTAAAAAATGTTTTTCAAATAGCGCAAGTGCAAGACAAAATCAAAGCAAGAATAATGGAAAAGATTCAATTTAGTTTCAAGAATATATTAACCCTATTTCTTACAACCCGCCAAAAATTCCTGCCAAATGATATGGAAATTTTAGTTAAAATAGTCTATAGACGTGTTTAAAAAACAGAACTTGAAAACTGTGAAAATAGCCTGTCTTCAGTTGCAATAATCTCGAATGAAAAAAAAACAATCTCAACGAAAAAAACTGAGAGATTGGGTTATAAAAAATCATACTGTAACACTTCAACAGCACACATCTAGGAACAATTTCTGGATTCCAGTGTATTATTGAATGATCCCACAGAGCTGCTCTTTTATGATGATTTTACACACGAACTATCATGGGCGTAGAAAAATTGTTGGGTTACGCTACAAAAAAAAAGAAAATTTTGAAACTTTTTATGATCTTTTTGCACATTAATTATATTTTTTTTCGAAAATTTGTGTTGCCACACTTTGCACTTTCTTAATGAAGCGTCCAAAACCTGTTTAGTGTAAAGTATATTCAAATTTTCCTCGCTCAAATTTTCAATTGAAAAGTTTCTTGCTATCAGAAATAAGCTAACTCTGATATCAGGAAAATTTGATTACTGTTTCTAATTATTTTAGGTTTCTTCTTTTCTTAGCTTCTTGTCTCGCATTTTTTTGCAATCTTTTTTTTCATCAGTTGTTAAAACGACTACAAAATTGATTGAGGCAATTTTATGTTACTCCTAATATGTATATTTTATTTTTGCTATGGCTTTCTTTTTAGGTTTTTTTCTAAACCTTTTTCAATCTAAACCCGTCTTCTCCTTAAATGTTTCAACTGTTTGAGCATAAAATCATACTCTGTTTAAAGTAAATTGTGATCATATAACAATGGGATTGAAAGGTATCCCTAGTTTATATTAGTGTAAATTACAGTTTGCTGGTTCCGCTTACATTTTGTGGATTTCGCTTAAAGTTGGGGATTCCACGGCAGCGTAATTTAACTATACATATGTATTTGTATTTTTTTGTGGATTCCAAAAACTCTTCCGGATTCCGCAAATTCGCCTTTTTTCGATCGATTTGAGTGATACAGTGTTTTAGCTATTTATTGTGGAATCTAAGACAGCTAACAAGATTTAAAAAAAAACGAGTTATGTTGCGGATTCCGCGACAACTCTGCTTCCGGTCTGTTGCCGCTTACATTTCGCAAAATACACAGTTTGGCCTGGTAATGGTCGCAATTCACTAGGGGTCCCGATTGTTTATTTTGCTTGTTTAATGTTGACACTATCAACAGAAAATAAGCTATGTTCATACGTTCTATATTCGTTAGCTTCAATATTGGATACAAGATTTTTTTGAAAGAGCAGCTTCAACATTCAACATCATTTTGTTTTTATGATCAACTGGCGAAATATACAGCACGCGCATGTATGCAAATTGCATATTTGTCTGATGAATGCAGGTTTATTTATACATCCTGGTGTTGGTTTTGTCTATAAGTCTTAGAAAATCATTTCACGCCATTGAGAGTATAATTCCGGTTTGAAATCGCGTCTAATTTCCACCACATCGGTTTTTTTCATAAGTGAACTAAATCACCATTATAGAAAGTGGCGTAGATGGTGTCGTTGGTGACATTGTGTTGGAGAGTGAGCTCGTCTAGGCCTGGTATGCTGCACCTGTGTCTGATGTGTTTGAGGGCGAATGCCCCCCACTCCATCCCTCCCCCTCCCTGCATGCCCACCATGAACAGCCCAATGAAGATCCACATGTGCCATCTGTTCTTGTAGCCTACAAGCAACAAAACTGTTTAAAAAATTGTGTTTTTTTTCTGTTTCTGCTATCAAATTGGGGGAGGGCGGCTCTCATGCGCGAAAATTTTCAACCAATCAGCACCTTTTAAACGCTCCTAATTTAATTGAATTTATCGCTCATTTCTTTCGATTTTCTGAATACTGACACTAAGCTCTGATTGATTGACAAGATTTTCGCGCATTCGGTCTGTCGTGCCTGAGGTATTCCCCCGTCACTTTGTTGTTCTGTCACTACAAGAGGTTACAAGGAGCTTTTTGGTTTCAGTTTACCCCTCACAAAACCTGATATAACAACAAAATAGATGACGTAGAGTGAGAAACTGAGTTCAGCTTATTTGCTTATAATTCTTATAGTATGAAAAAGATTTGAAAAACCTCGCTTCATAAATAATATGAGAAGAAATTAATTTTTTGAAATAGATTTTTAAAGGTTTACAAGTTTTTTTTTCAAGTAATTTAAGGTTGCCTTTTGCACGAACAGTCTTATGGGTTCAAGTGAGCTATCATATTAAAATCTGGCGAATCTCAACAAAGGCAACTTTTGAATCCCAAAGCAAATTAATCCAAAATTTAACGAACTGAATTAATTTGCGTAATTTAAAAGTGTAAATAACTATCAAAGTTGATTTGAGGAAAGTTATTAAACAATATCAACATACCTGTGATATCTACAATTTTAGACAGTAAATGTTCTGGTCTGTCTTCGTCAAAATAATCCAGTTTCTCCGTCATAACTTTAAGCCACAACTTGCTATCGCGTAAAACTATTTTTCTTTAGATTCCGATTGAATTTGTACCAAAAATGGTGGCAATTTCAAGCACCGAATATTTCCTAACTAACTGAAAAAGACTTCAACTCCAGCTGTAGGTGGACAATACTTTATTTTGAGTGGTGAATGAAAGACTATCATGCCATGTGGCGCGGAAAAAGCAACGCTGGACTTTTTATGTCTGACCAATTATTCCAAGCTACCATATTACTAAAAGTTCTGGGACTCCTCGCATTTCAACAATTTTGACTATTTAACAAAATTCTTTATGTGAGTAGAAATTGTGGAATCTGTCATTCAATCATCAGCGCCCAAAGAGCTCCATCTTCGCTAGGAGTTCACGTCAGTTTTTTTTCTGGACAATGATATCAATATTGAAAGGCATATTTTTTGCCGGACCTGTAATAAGAACAATCTGGCCAATATAGGCTAAGTTCCGTTCTTAACTTTACCTAAATTTAGTGTACGCTCAAAAAATGAGATCAATGTCCGAAAGCGGCTATTATGAGCAAAATAATTATGCTGTTCCTTTGATATTCGTTTCAGCGTCTAGATGCCGTGTGACGTAACTAAAAACTCGGAGCACTAAACTGATGGTCGGGGAGACAGCTCCGAAGTAGCACGAAAACAAAAAAATTATGCGGCATGGACAAAAAAGAGAACTGTTTCTACTTTAAAAGTCAAACAAGACTGCTCGTATCAGGGTGAAGCCCTGAATATTCCGACTGCCTTTTAAGGTTTATGGAGCAGTAATAACATAAATATCATGAACAAAATAAATGTAATCAAATAAAATGAAAAAGATTTTTTCTAAAACTTGTTTTTTACCTATGAAAATCATCTCCCCACACGCCATATAAAGTACAAAAGAATAGATTTCGCTCCTTGTAACAAATCAATTATGGCAAATAAGCTTCGTTCAACCAACTTGGAACGATTTCTAAGACGGATCAAATCCACTCTCCGCTTACGCGTTAATAGCGCAAAATATATCGCGCGTTAATTGTCCCAAATTGCCCCAAATTGCCCAAAATGGCAATCTTTAAACCCCATAACTTTTTTTAAAAAATGATCACAGGTGAACTATTTTTTCAAATTTAAGCTCAGGACAACAATACGTTTTGGATGATATTTTAAAAATCCGTCAAAAATGGCTAGTTAAAAAGTCGAAATTTGTCTGAAGAAAAAAAACCCACTCCGAGCACAAATATTCCATTACTTTGGTATCGAAAGTCGGAACAATAAACATCAAACTAAATGTAACTCAATCGGGAAGATTGATTTCACCATATACTCTAAAAATCAACAAAATAGTTTTAAAGATATGAATGATAATCGATGTTTCAAAAATTTTATACAACTTATTTGAGACAGTTTTGAGCTGTGAAGCATCAGTCTTTTTTGATTTATTTGCTTTTTCTTGTAAGTTCAACAGACTAAAAACACTTCCGCATCCAGTATCCAACGCATACAATGAAAAAAATCTGTAACAATGAATTATTCACCGGTTACACTTTTTATTCTTCCTATATAAATATAGTCAGCTGTCAATCGTTTTACTCCATTATTATCTCTTATTTGTTTTTCGATAAGATTGGGATGAAAAAATTGTTAATTTGATCTTCTATCTTGAATTTCAATCGTTTTTTTCATTTGCTCCTCTCGTAGATTTTAGCTAATGAAAGAATTTCGAAAAAGCTTTAGCGCTATCTAACAGAAAAACAAATCAACATTTTTACGCTATTTTTTTGTCTTGATGAATTTTCGTTTTTGATGCATTTTTTGTTTTCAAGTGCCAACAAGGTTTTAGTTTGGTGAGTTTAATTACTGCAATAAAATTTCAAGTAAAATGAAATGAAATCAACAGAAAATGCAATTTTTTTCTGGTGTATTTTTGTCGGTGGTATAAGTTTTTTAACACCAAATAGCATACCTTATTTTTTTAATTCTCGCTGTCAATGAAGAATTCTCAAAACTGCAGCTCATCCAAAGACAAGGTTATACCACGAAAAAACGTTGCATAGATCTCATTTCATTTAGCTGAAATGTTCTAGCAGTAAGTGAAAAATTATAACAAAAACTGATCAAGACAAAAAATAAAAATAGAATGACGCTATTTTTATTTTTTGTCTTGATCAGTTTTTCTTATTGATCCATATTTTGTTCTCAAATGAGAGCAAAGTTTTAATTTGGTGAGTATTTTGTCCAAGTAAATTTTCACTTACTGCGAGATCATTTCAATTAAAATGAAATAAGATCTATGGAACTTTTTTTTCGTGGTATAACTTTGTCTTCGGATGAACTGTACGTTTTGAGATTTCTTTCAGAGTGGCAAAATTTTAATTATAAAAACAATTAGGATATGTTGTTGGTGTTCAAAATATTTGCCAAAGCAGGAAATAATACTCGATTACAGTGGATTTTGAGACACTTTTATAAATGTTTTGAAAAGATGATTATCTGTTGAAAATTTCATTATCATGATTTTTAACCTTTCAAATACCAAACACTGATCTTTTTAATCGATTTGAAAAACCACAAAATCTGCAAGATGTACCGCTATAAATGATTACTCAAGTCTAAATTTGGACTTGAGTAATCATTGGAGTAATCATTGGACTTGAGTAAAAATAATTTAAAACTCCCATTTTTTCACTCGAATGTTTTAGTGGGAACATTCTTGACCCGTTGGATACCAGTCAACCTTCCTCGTTTTTATTTGAAAATAAAGATTTTATGAAAAGCAAATCTCTCAATCTAGTTTTTGTTTTTTTTTTGAAAAGTCTGTCGGGCAATATTTAGATAACACAATTTTAATTAAAGTTTTGAAATATTGATCTCTTATAATGTCGATTTCAAAATTTTTACAACTTGTTAAAAAACTTAAATGAAGATATAACTAAACACTCTGGGTTACATATCGAGGGAAAATCTGAACTTCCTGCCAGGATCCTAAAGACTCCAGCCAAATCCTGTACTTCTTAGTAGGAGTTATAATATATAATTTTTTGAAAACCAGGCCTTGAAAAATCAATGTATTCTAGGAAATCAACGATTTGTTCAAAAATTGTTCTATGGGTTTCAGGTTGCCGCAAAAGCTAAATTTTTTTTTTGCTCAATCAAACAATTTCAGAAAAACATCATGAATTTTTTTTTGTGTATAACGTACTATGCGGTTTTGTGCGGAATATAACTAGTTTTTTGTTTTAAAATAGCTAGCCTAAATATGGCAAAAAGTTTTGACAATTGTTACGAAAAAAAATAAGACAAGTTTGCAAATATTTTGAAAAAATATGTCAAAAAGTTTTGCTGAGGTAGAATTTATCTTATCTCAAACAAAACATTAACTTTTGTTATAATGAATCTTCGCAACTTTCAAATTTTATTTTCGATGAAGAATTTACAAATGCATTTATCTGCAGCATTCTTACTTGATCGAACTTTGTTTTTATGAGTTTGTTCTGTGTAATATCGCAATTGCGCTGATTGAGTATATATAATGAGAGTATGCAAACAATAATTTTTTGACGACTTTGTTGGAAAAAGCGTTTTTTGGAATACACTTATCTCTCACTCATTGGGTACATTCATTGGCGGCAAAGGTTCCTTCTGAATTTTTTTGTAATTTTTGAGATTTTTGAGATTTTTATATCAAAATTTAAATAGTGTCAAACAGTGCCAAAAATGTCAGTAAACACGCACTTTGTAGTCCATATACTACAGCTGATTTTAATTGATATAACTTTCTTTGGACGCGTTTTTCTACTTTTTCTAAATAACCCTCGTATCCGAATCTTTTATTCCGTACATTAAAGACTCGTTGATATCATTTTTAGTCGCACTGATTGCCGACACATTAGTCGCAACTTTGAAGGGCGGACTTCTTTGTTTCTGGTAACCGTCCCTAATAAAAACCGCTACATCCATTCGGCCAAATCATCATTCTTTTGATTTATTGTTTTTTCACGTGATTGCAATAATCAAAGCTGCTTCAAAAATTTCTGATCAAAATATCGTTCAGATAAACAATCTCATAATTTTTTTTGAAATTAACATAGATGATACAATAACAGTTCAATTTTTCGTGTCTGAAGACTGTTTTTATCTTGTTATTGTTTTCAAAGCCATGAGCACAATTCGATAGCCTCGTCGGCCCCATTTTGACAGTCATGCCACCCATCACACACGTTCATCCTAAAATACACAATTGCCATGGATAATAAAATGTTTCTTTCACTATTATAAGGTTGCTTTCTATGCTAAAATATGCTAAATAAAAGTAGTGATACTTTGAGCTCTAAAAAGCCGAGTATACAGTCTACTTTTCATAGTAAAAAAATTGAAATGTAAGTCAACAAAAACTTGTGGAATTTCTCATGTTTAAATAATTGTATTAGAATTTTTAATACTATCCTTGTTTCGACCATTGAAAATGGGGAGTAG